GCTTTTCTCTCATGGACCACGTGGTCCAATTTCCCACACTGCTGCCAGAGCACCCCCTTAAATAACTCTACATCAAGCATGATTACGCTGTATTGTGTGATGTTTTCTTTTTGGAGCTTGAGAAATTTGCTTCTATCCCGGAGGGCCGTCATGAGATCGTCGACCTGCTCATCGGACCTCGCGCCCCGGAGGATCACCAAGATGTCATCTTTGAACCTGCCCCAGTACTTGATCTTATGGAGGTCGCGGAACTCCGCGCTCAAGGCAGTATCTGTCTCAACCATGTGATGAAAACTTGCATCGCTGATTCCCCCCGAACTTTGAAGCCCCATACCCGTCCCCACTTCGACCGACCAGAGCTTCCCAGGGATGCCGTCGACCGAGATGATCTGGTTAGCAAGGGTCGCGGATACTAGGTGCTTGTAGGCATCACGCCGGGGGCCTGCCTCTACAGCCAAAGAGCTGTAATGTTGGAATTCAGCATGTTTACCGGACATGTAATAATGTTTAATGTCGATCTTTTAAAAAGGTGTCGTCCTTTTCAACATGCAGCTCCCTCAAGTGATCCATGGGCTCGGCACTGTCGCGTAAAATGTGCCGTTGCCCCCGAAGACTGGACTGCAGCAGAGATGATATCCATCCCATGGCTTCTTTCATCGGGCTCCCAGTCGAACCGTGAATCGCTCTGAAAGTTACCTCCCCGGGGTCCTTGTGGCTTTTGATGGTCATGGTTAACCTGGAGATCATCCCCTTGATGCCCCCAGAGCCCCATGACAGAACAGCCGGTACCATGCGATGGTCGCCCGGCGCCTCGGCAGCCAACACCACACTGTTTTTGATCTCGAAGTAGTCCGTCTCTGCTTCGAACGTGCAGGCAGTAGGCTTATACTGAGGTTATTGCAATAGACGAACTTTCTTGAGGATGATGGTAGCTTTATCCACCAAACATACCCCACCATCCTTGTCAATAGGGATGGCCCCCAAACGCCCACGTCTGAGCATGTCAAAAGCGCACGCATGCAACCCACAATCATTGCTAAGGCGTCGCTGGTGTTGAAACGAACGGCCTCGGGCAATCAAACAAGCGTCCCATACGCCCTGAGTAACACTAGAAATTAATTGCTGCCGCACCGCGCTCAGAGGGCCTGGACAATCTGGGGTGATGTTTGGTCGTTTTCGGCATCGCTTCCAAGGGTTAACTTCTTTTTCGATCTCGTACTGGCTATCGTACTCATCAGCTGCCTCGAAGAAAAATCTCCACGCAACTTTTCTTCCCCAGTTAGCAATATGTTGTGATACAGATCGTAAGTCAGGCCCTCGCCTGCTACGAAAAACGTGTTTGCGGTGATAGCTTCCAAGCAAGAATTGAATTGGCCAGGGAACCTCTCCGTGTTCTGGTCGGTACACAGAGCGCTCATCTGAATTGAATACGTACAGACGTGGCTGCACATCATGCATACGAAGGAGATTCGCAAAGTCTGCGAGTGGAAGATCGTCGATCGTCTTCCAAAAGGTGCGGGTGCATTTCTCGATCATTGGTACCTCCGATTCTTTCCTCGCTCTTTCCCACCTTTTGACTCTGGCTTTCCTCCTTTGGAATCTTTGCCCTTCGTCTTGCCCTTGCCGTCCTTGCCCTTGCCTTCCTTGCCTTTGCTTTTGCTTTTGCCCTTGCCTTTTGGGGTGGTCGTCGAAGGTGGTGAAGCCGCCTTTCCTTTGCCATCCTTTGCCTTGCCTTTGCCATCCTTGGTTTTCCAGCCCCCTTCCCCTTCGGAGTAGAGGACTGGCTCCGATCGTTTTTTGCCAAACTTCTTTCCACGTCATCTTCCGTAGCAGTAGACAGAGTTCCCGCTGCATACCAGTTCACTGGATCAACCTTCACGCCTGCCTTCCTTTCCAGCTCGTCGATATTCCTGAAGCCTGATGCGTCAGTACCCTTGCCGCGTTCACGGCCTTTCATCTGCTCCTTGAACATCTTCCCAACGGTGTAAGAAACATACTCTGCTGGACTGAAGCTGGTAAGTTCCTTGATGAGCTTAGTCTTCGCTTCATTCTTCTCTTGCTCCGCCTTTTGCTTGATATGGAAGTTCTGGGTTGCTTTGTCCAAGATCTTGCGGTAGACCACAATCGCCTTGGACTTCATGTGATCAGCCTCCATGGTTGATAATTCTAAATCGTCCTCCTCTAGAATCACGCCCAATGCTTGCCATTTCGAAGGCTGCGCTGCGTAGATGGACGAAATCTTTTCCAAGAAGTGTGACTTACGTGTCGCTTCACGCTGAAGGTCAAGATGGGCCTCCCACAAACTCGTTGATCAAGCTGCTTTTGAATACAAAGGTAACGTTTATGCACATATTCCCTTGCCTCCCGTACAGACAACGTGCCCGCAACAGTGATGTCAAAGACCTCAGGCTCCCCAATCTTCAAGAAATCCAAAAGCGGACTCTCGAATGTGATACTCACCTCCTTGAACCCATGGCCTGGGGGAAGCTCTGTGTCCTGGCCGTTCGTGAGATCCGTGATCTGCGTCTTGATCTTTTCCAAGGTTGACCTGGTCGATTGAAGGCTGTTGATCTTCTGAGCGAGATCGGTTGCTGCCTTTTTCATGGCCTTCATGGCTTCGGGCACAACGTACTCCCCAAAGAGCTCGTCGACTAAATTCCTGATGTCACGATGTTCACTGTTGCCTCCAACTGCTGCTCCATCTGCTGCTGCACCTCCTCCGTCGCGTTGCTCATCGGCTTGACGAGCTGGGGAGCGGCTCCGCTCCGCCAGGGCCGGATGGCCTGCGGCCGGTGGCAGCAGTGGTCGTCTACCTCCGCCTCTGCCATTGCCAAGCTGCGCTGCCTGGCCATGGGAGCCTGCCGGAAGGCCCGGCTCTTGCGAAGATGGCGCGTCGCCCATCACAGAGAAATGTGTAAGTGTCAGAACGATGAAAGTGAAAATGATGTTTTTCAACGCGCTTATTCTGGCCCCCGGGGAGTCGCCGAACCCCGGACTAGCCTCGCTCTGGCTGAGCGCCTTGGGCCTGTACAGTTTCGGACTCGCTCACTCCCGCATTTGTGGAGAGAGAGAGAGAGAGAGAGAGAGGTCCCCGCGTGCAAGGAAGCGCGGCGGGCCCCGGAACGCCCTCCCCTTTGGCCCTCGCCGCGCCCTCCCCCGTGCCGGTCGTGGTCTCTGACGCCTCGCGGCGCGGCGCCGCCCGGCACGTGGGTGGGGGCGGACGTGCTTCCGCGTGTCCGTCGGGGTCGGACGACGACGACGACGACGACGACGACGACGACGACGACGACGACGACGACGACGACGACGACGACGACGACGACGACGACGACGACGACGACGACGACGACGACGACGACGACGACGACGACGACGACGACGGACGACGACGACGACGACGACGACGACGACGACGACGACGACGACGACGACGACGACGACGACGACGACGACGACGACGACGACGACGACGACGACGACGACAACGGAACGGTCTGGATTCCAGGGCGCGATCCCGCGGATATGCCGTCGCACGCATACGCTCTGCGCGGGCTTCCGCGAAAGAACGCCCCGCATCCGCGGCGTTGCGGCTCGGGAGGCCCTGGCCCGCGAGGCTGCCGACACGGATCTGCTTTCCGCCCGCAAGTGTGGGCGGACGGGCTTCCATGTTTCAATTCGGGTCGGATGACACACTGGGAGGAGGGAGGGAGGGATGGAAGGAGGGAGGGAGGGAGCGAGGGAGGGAGGGAGCGAGGGAGGGAGGGAGGAGGAGAAGAAGAGGAGGAGGAGGAGGAAGAGGAGGAGGAGGAGGAGGAGGAGGAGGAGGAGGAGGAGGAGGAGGAGGATGGAGGAGGATGGAGGAGGGAGGGAGGGAGGGAGGGAGGGAGGGAGGAGGAGGAGGGGGCAGGGGTTCCGGCCAGGAGGCGCGGGAGGACCCAGGTGTGTTGGGTTCGTGTCGCGTCGACGCCGCGGCGGCCCCCGCGCGGGCCGTCCGCCGGAGGCCCCGGAGTCGGCCGAAGTCCAGCGATCTTCGCTGTCGGGAGGCCACGATTGTGCTCGAGGCCAGACAGTCCACGCGGTGGCAGAAGCCGGCGCCGAAGTCGTTCCGACGCGTGCTTGCTGTGCGTTGGCAGATTCACCAACCCCTTTGTGCTGTTCCCTTCCCCGTCGTCCAGCCCGGTCCGCGTGCTCCATGCGCGTTCGGTGTGCGCTCACGTGCAATCTGGCTGGCGCATCCCGCTTGCTGTGAGCGAGACCGTGGTTCACACCGCTGGATGAGGAAGAGTGTCTTTTGTTGTCCCATCCGTCCTTTGTATTCGATCATTCATGTTGGCGGTTTTTGTATGAGCCTTTTCATGAGCAGAGGTAGAGGAGGGAAGAGGGGGTCAAGAGGGGGAGGGGGGGGTCAGAGGGAGGGAGGGGAGGTTGAGGGGGGCGAAGAAGGGATGAGGAGGGGGATGCGCGTGGGAGGAGTGGATAGGAGAGGGGGCTGGGGGGGGAATAGGAGGGGGAGGTGAGAGGAGGGCTGGAGAAGAAGGGGAGGGGTGAGTGTGTGTGCGTGTGTGTGTGTGTGTGTGTGCGTGTGTGTGTGTGTGTGTGTGTGCGTGTGTGTGTGTGTGTGTGTGCGTGTGTGTGTGCGTGTGAGAGAGACAGAGAGAGAGAGAGAGAGAGACGGAGATTCGTGACACGACTGGGGCGAGAGGGCTCAGAACCGAGGATCTGACTTACGCTTCCCGTCCCTGGTTCCAAGCGCCAGTTTCCCAGGGTGCACGTAACAATGCGGAGACCGTGGCAGATGACCTGTGCGATGCGATCATCGATGGGTCGGATCACGCCGCACTCTCGTGCGAAGATCAGGCCGAGCTCGCTTTTTGGCCTGCTCGGTTCAGCAGGCTCAGGTCATGTGGTTTTGCAAGCAGACTGTGTCGCCACTGCTGGAGTGTACGGCGCAACATTCCCCAGTTTCGCTGAGCTTTACAGCGTGCGCGATCCCGCAGGAGTTCCTGGAGTACCTTGCCTCGGAGGCTGCGAAGAGGACAGACCGCCTGGGCTGGCGGAAGCAGTGAGGCTCTTGTGTGGAGAGGAAGCCATCGAATCTTGCTGCATGCAGCCCTGCAGTCCTAGAATGAGGAGACGAGCGGGGAGCAGAGCGAAGTGCGCGGCAGTCTTTTGTGTCGGCGTTCCTTGCCTTGCTCGATCACCCCCCTGCTGTCAGAGAGTTTCTAGAAAGCTCAACTGACTTCAGTGCCATAATCTTTTTGTCCCCTGCACCTCGGAGGACAGACAAGATCCCGCCGCCTCAGTTGTTGCTGCTGACGCAGGGCCTGATACCGCTGGGTGCATCCAACCCGTCCGTCGGGAAGATCTTCGGCTTCTGGGGGGAGGGCGCGGATCATTCGAAGCTGACGGCGGACCAGCTCGCGAAGCTTATCCAGGCGATTGACGGAAACCAAGTGAGTTGCGCCGGCACTCGCGCGCAAGCCGCCCGCGTGAGGTCGAGCGTAAGCGCCCTCTCTTCTTCGTGGCGTGCCGCGCTTGCGGTCTGCGCAAGCCACCGCCTGAGGTCGCTGAGTCCTCGTGCGGAAGGCCTCCTTCTTCTCGTCGCTCAGGTGGCTGCCCCCGTGGTGGCGGAGGGCTCCGCGTTCTGGGGCAAGGCGGGCGCGAGCCTCGTGGCCCAGAAGGGCTCGCTGACCGACGCGGGCAGGGCGTCGGTGCTGGCGGCCTTCCCCGACGGCGCGGGCCCCGCCTTCGAGGGGAAGGACTCCCTGCTGGAGGCGGCCAAGCCCAAGGCGAAGGACGACAAGGACCGCGACCGCAAGGACGACCGCAAGCGCAGCCGCGACCGCCGCGACCGGAGCCGCGACCGGCGCGACGACCGGGATCGCGATCGCAAGGATTTGGACGCCCGAAATGGGTACTGAAAGAATGGGAACATTGCCCAACAGCAGTTCCTGTTCATTCTGCACAGGACTCGCTGTCCACGCCGCCGCGGCCTGTGCCCATTCGAGACAGAAGGCCGCCTGCCCAACAGCGGCCGCTGTTGGTTTGGGACAACATCTGCTGTTGGGCATTGTACCCATTTTTTCCGTACCCATGTCGGGCGTCCAAAAAGGACGACCGCAAGCGCAGCCGCAGCGGTCGCAAGGACGAGCGCAAGCGCAGCCGCAGCCGCGACCGGAGGCGGTGAGTGCTCGGGGACTGCGGGATGCTCGGGCGGGCGGCAGCCGGGGGGGGGGGAAGAATCGTGGGGGGATCGAGGATCGCAGGAGCGCGGCTCCAGTGAGGCCCCTCGATGGCCCCTGAGTTGCCTCCGCGGGCCCAGAAGAGGCTTCAGTCGCGCCTGTCCCTCTAGAGGAGGAATACTCAAGAATAAGAAAAAATCAGGAGACCATATTTTGATTTTTTTTGCTCTTGTGGGACATTTTTTGAGTATATTTTCAATCTTCAAACCAAAATCCGCCTGTAGGGGGACACGCCCTACCTCAGAATAGGCGCACGTTTCTTCACCCCCGTTGCCTGCCCCCCATCAAAGAACTCCCCAGAAGCGGCCGCGCCGCGCCCGCAGCGGGCAAGGTTCCTGTGGCGGCGCGCAGGCAGCCCCAGGAGGCAGCCCAGACCGGCCCTTCTTGCAGACTCCCAGGGTGCTCGGGTGCGGCCTCGGCACCCTGGCCCAGGGTGCGGAACGCTCCAGGGACACTCGGGCCGAACCAAAGGGGGGATAGGGAAAGGGGGGGGTACGACATCTGCTGCATGCAGCTGGTTTCGGCCCCGCCGCCGGGCCCATTCCTCGATACATGGGCGCCTTCCAGCGCCGGGAGGCGCCGGGAAAATCAGCTACGTGAGCTGATTCTCTACCCTGCCCTTGGCTATCCCCCCCTTTTCGTTCCCCCCCGAGGCCCAGAGTCGGCGTGGGGCTGTTGAGACCGCCCTTGGCCACCCGGGGGGTCCGTTGAGGCAATCCTGGGCGCTCTCCATGCGCCTGGGCCTCCCATTATATGGGATCGAGAAAATGCTCCGCATCGTCGATGCATCGGCGATGCATCTCGATGTGGAGCTCCACTTTCTCTACGCCAGCGTCGTCGATGCGTCGTCGATGCATCGTCGATGCATCGTTGATGCATCGGCGATGTATCGGCGATGCGGCGCAATCCCCCAACCCCGTCTCTGGTCAGGACGCTGAAACCAGGACCACGACATCTAGGTCGGGAAACCTGCTCGTGGCCGAGGCCCGCAGCTGCCAGGAAAGCCCCGCCGTTCCTTCTTTGGCGCTCCGTGTGGCTGGGTGCCCGGACCCCACGCGGGAGGCCTCCCGTTGAGGCCGGCCTGGGCGCTGCGCGGGCGCCACCGCACGCCCTGCCAGCCGGCTCGCTCCGGCGCTCGCCGCCCGCGCTCGCCTCAGGCCCCCGGAGACCAGGACACAGGTAAACCAGGACACGGAAAACCGAGGAAACGACACCCTTTCCTGCAAAGTCACAATTTTCAGCACATGTGCATTTTCTGTTTGCTGCGCTGCAGGATTCGGGCTTGTGTCCAGGGTTGGGGGGGTCCTTGCAGGCTATGAGGGACTATGCCCGGGTTTCTTTTGGAAATGTTGCAGTGCAGTATTTTGTTCGTGCCGCCGTCTGGAAAAACTGGTTTCGAGGGATGCTGGGTGTCCGGGTCTAGCGTGTCCAGGTTTACGGGGCCCCGATCGCCGCCCGCGCCCGCCGCCGGCGCGGCGGCAAGGGGCGTGCCGCGGGGCCTCGGGGCCGCGGGGCGCCGGCGGGCAGCGCGGCGAGCGGCCTCGCCACGCTGCCCGCGGGCCACGGGGGCCCCCGCAAGCTCCGTCGTCCGCGGGCACAGGTCGGCGACGACAGCGGGTGCGGCTGCGGCAGGCTCGTGTCGTGTCGGCGCGCGCCGCGACCGCAGCGGGGGCGTTCCAGGTGGAGCGCCGCAGTGTTGCGGGCCTGGAAGCGGCCGACGTCGAACGAGCAGCCCGATCGGGAAGCCGCTGTCGTTGAAGGTTGAGCGATTCACGCGGTGTCAAGAATCCATGCCCGGGTCGTCACGACACGAACTTGCCGTCTGCGGGGTTGTGGTTTGCGATCGGCGCCGTCGGGGCTCAGGAGTCACCGCGTTGCGCCAGCTGTTTGATCAGCCCCAGTCGGGGCGCGGCAGAGACTGCTGTCGAGGTCGTCGCCCGCCCCCACAGGCGCGGGTCGCAAAACAGACCCTGTGCAGGCAGCATCTCTTGGAGTCGCCGATCAAGGGGGGGGGGCCTTTGGGTGGCGCCCCAATCCGTTCGAGCGGCAGAAAAGTGGCGCGGGGGCGGGGGTTTTCAGAGAGCGCCAGCGAGCGGCCTCGCCATGCCGCCTGGGGGCAAGGGGGGGGCCCCTGGCGGCGCCCCTCTCCGTTTTCGCGTCGCGAGAAAAAGTTGCGACGACAGGTTTGGGCCCGTGTTTGGCCTCCGGGGGCCTTTGCCCAGCCCCGGGGTCGTCTAGAAACGGCCTGGGATCACAAGCTCGTCCCCGGGGACCAGGGGTCGAGACTCCTTGGGGTTTTCGCTTGGCGACGCCCCACCCCGTTCGAGCGACAGAGAAGTCGGCGGACGCCAGATTTACACCGGCACGGGTGCTGGCCGGGGCCGATCTTGGGCCCGGGACCGGTGGGTACGCCTCGTCTGACCATGCCCGGAGGGCGCGTGCATTCCCGAGATCGCCGCGAGATTGGTGTTTGTATATCGTTGGCGTCCTCCCATGGCGAGCGGCCTCGCTATGTCGCCAGCGCTTCCAGGGCCTGCTGCGTCCGCCAGACCACGTGCGCCCAGAGTCCAGGCCTCCCAAAGAGGGTCCGAGCAGATGGGGTCGGAGGATCCCGTCGCATCGCCGCGTGCATGGGCGATGCGGCTCGATGTGGGGCCCGATTTTCTCCACGCCGAGGGCGCAGATGCATCGCCGACGTCGCTAGTGCATCGCCAATGCATCGCCGATGCATCGCCGATGCATCGCCGATGCGGCGCGATCCTCCGTCCCCATCTACTCGGACTACTCGGACCTCATCTAGGAGGCCTCTACAGAGGGCTGGTGGGATGCGAGCACGCGCCCAACATGCCGCCAGCGCGGTGGCGAAAGCAGGGAGGGGGGCAGGCGCAGTCGCAACAGCCACAGCGCATGCAGCGGTGTGCAGTCCCGCCTCTCGCCGCGCCCGCCGGCATCGCCGCCGCCTCCGCGGCTCCGCGCGAGCCCGCCCCCCCCCCCCCCTCCCCGCGCCCGCGCCCTGCGGGGGCTCCCTCCGGGCGCACGTCTCACCGCCCACCAAACCACCCCAACCCTACCCGAAGGCCCCAATTTGCCCTCCATTTCCAGTTGGGGGGGGTCGGGGAACGTTGAGAAAACACACACATGAAGCTCGTACCCCCCCCAACCCGAAATTCGGGTCTTCGGGTTGGGTTGGGGGTGGTTTGGTAGGTAGTCAACGTCTGCCCCCGCCGCCCGCCCGCGCGCACATGCCTGCGCCACCCACCGGGCGCCATGCGTGCGCGTGCTGTGCCGGCCGCGGGCGCGTGCGGAGAGGGCGGCCCGCAGGCCAGCTCGACCGGCCCGGCGCGGTGGCGCGGCGCGGCGCGGCGCGCGTCGCCCGAGGGGTGGCGCGTCGGCACGCCGCCCGCAGGCGGCGAGTCGCCGGGCGCCCGCGCGCCGCCGCTGCAGCGGCGAGGTAGCCACGAGGAGGGCCTCCTCCTCCTCCTCCTCCTCCTCCTCGTCCTCCTCCTCCTCCTCCTCCTCCTCCTCGTCCTCCTCCTCCTCCTCCTCCTCCTCCTCCTCCTCCTCCTCCTAGGGGCCGGACGATGGAGCCGGCAGTTCTCTGGACGACGACGGGCCCGAGAGGAGGAAGCGGATGCTCTCTCGGCCCGAGCGGCCGCCGGTGCCCGTCTCCCTGTCGACGGCGCCGCCCCTGCTGCTCCTCGGCCTGGTCGTGTCGGGCCTCCTCGGCGTCTGGGACGGGAAGAGCGAGCTGCCGCACGGCATCGTCTTTCAGGACCGGGTGCTCGGCGCTGGCGCGGGCGCCGGCCTGCCGCCTGGCCCGCCCTCGCTGCGGGGCTGCTGCGGGTCGCCTGCCGAGTTCCGCTGGGTGTTTCTGGACAGTGCCGAGGAGGCCACCGCGGGCACGCCGTTCCGCACCCGCGTCTTCGCTCTCGACGCGCGGGGGCGGCAGGCGCGGCCGTCGGACTGCGGCGAGCTGCGGGTCGACCTGGGGCTGAGCGGGCGCGCGCGGCTGTCCCGGGACACCTCGCCCACTGCGTGGCGGAATTCGGAGCTCGACCTCAACATCGAGAACGAGAGGGCCGAGGTCGTGGAGGCCGAGGTGCGGATCGAGGGGGGGGAGAGGGTGCTGCAGCACACCTCCCGCATCCGCTTCGCCTCCGGTCCTGCGCGAGGCTTCGCTCTGCGCCTGCGGCGGGCCTCATCCGAGGGTCAGCAGGCGGCGGGCGACGGCGACCCGCCGAGCGGCCGGTGGCCCCTAGGTGTCACGCTGGATGTGATCGTGTCCATGCAGGACCGGTTCGGCAACGCCGTCCCGCTGGACCTCGAAGAAAAAAAAACGACATCAACGTAAACTTTTGGCGCTCCGCTCGGATTTCTTGGATCCGCGCTGGGCCCCTCCAGCGGCGCCTCTGGCGCCCCCCCTGGCGCTCTCCGCGCGCCCCTCCCTGGCGCGCTGAGCGCGCCAGGGGGTTGCGCTGGAGGCGCCGCCAGGGAGGGCCAGCGCGGATCCAAGAAGTCCGCTCGGAGCGCCAGAAGTTCATGTTTATGCGATTTGTTTCTTCTAGGACCGATCGCTGGGCGAGAGCCTGGCGCTGCGCTGCAACGACATCGAGGGGATCGACCTAACACCGCGCGACGGCGCGCTGCGATTCGGCGCCGCCTCGAAGGGCGTGGCAACGCTGCGCGGCCTGAGGCACGGGACCGTGGAGCTGTGGCTGGAGAGGATAGGCGGCAACAGCTCCATGCAAGAGCGACGCGAGTTCAAAACCCAGACCATGCTGGTCGTCACGTTCACGGACCCTGCCGAGCCCACTGCGGTGATGCCCGCACGGCCCCGCGCGGAGAATCTCTCCCCGGCAGACGTTCGCTGGATGAAGCACGCCGCCAACGTGCGGAAGGAATTCCTCCACGCCTGGCACGGCTATCGCCGGTACGCCTGGGGCCGGGACGAGCTGGAGCCGGTGGCGAAGCGCGGCAAGGACACCTTCGGCGGCATCGGCGCCACGGTCATAGACTCGCTGACGACCCTGTGGCTGATGGGCCTCCAGGAGGAGTTCGCCGAGGCCCCGCCCCGCCTCGCCCCGTCTCGCAGACGCCGGGGCCGCTGCCGCCCCCGTCTGCCGCTCCTCTCGAGCACACCAGCTCCTCGCACGGGAAGGAAGAGGCACGGGGATCGTGGCCAGGATGTCGCGGGATCCTGTCCATGCCGATCTTGGTCCTGGCCCATGCAGGCCGTCGCCGATTCGCGCGGATAATCCACGCGTGGACGCTGGCCAAGATCGGCACTGCACGGTCCCCGTTTCCATCCCCTCCATCCGCCGCGGTCGCTTTCGCCGGGACCTCACAGGTCAGCGGTGCAGGGTCAGCCCAGAGAGGTCCCGAGGCCCCGGGTGGCCCAGGCTTTACTCCGCTTGCCGGAGCCCATGAGACAGCATGCAATTCATACATCGGTATATATATATATATATATATATATATATATATATATATATATATGCTCGGTCCCCCCCCAGCGACCCCCCAAAACGCCCAAAACACGAAGCCGCGGTCTTGAGATGCTGGCACCGAACAGCCGCAGACACATGGTCTGTCACAGCGGGCTGTGACCCGAGAAGTATTCCTCCTCATCTTACTCTCCCTCATCCTCCCCCTCCTCTTCCATCTCCCCCCTCGCCTCCTGCTTCTCCTGTTCCTCGTCCTCCTCCTCCTCCTCCCTCGTCCTCCACCTTCTGTTCCTCCTCCTGGTCCTCTCCCTGTTTTCTTGCTCGGAGGCCACGAAACACTGTGTATCACAGGTTTTTCTGGTTTTTCTGGTCTGGGAACCAACGAAACATTGTGTATCACAGGTTTTTCTGGTTTTTCTGGTTTTCAGGTGCCGACAAACAGGAGGGGGGGTGCGGTGGGGCGAGGCCGCGGCGAGCATTTCAGCTCCAGAAACCAGAAAAACCAGTGATACACAATGTTTCGTTGGTTCCCAGACCAGAAAAACAAGAAAAACTGTGATACACAGTGTTTTCTTGCTCGGAGGCCACGAGACACTGTGTATCACATGTTTTTCTGGTTTTCTGGTTTTC